TCAGAAGTAGGACTCAACCTGCTTAAAACCCTTGAGCTGGTTCAAATAATGTAACATGGCCCTCATGGCGGTCGGCTTGCAGTCTGAAACACCCACTTGCAAGCTCACCAAGCAAGCTTACCAAGCTCACTGCGAGGATTGGGAAGGAGGTGCCAAGCTTTCTGCGCGGAATTGGGGGGGAAGCAGGCAAATGGTTCGCTGTTGCTTCTCGAGATTGCTGAGAGCGAGGTTTTTTCCCACGCTGATGGCTATTTCTGCTGTTTTCGTGTCTTTGTTGGTTTTGGGATGTTGATTGAACGCTGCAGCTGCAGTCACGGAGGCCCGTCGACGCCAAGGTCATGCGTTAAAGACATCAAGTCCGTTGTGGCTGCATGCCATCTTGGTGGCAATGTGTCAGATCCCGCAGACAATAACCAAAATGAGCGCTTGATTTGCTGAACGAAGTCATGAGGGACATTCCGTCACTTGGTGCCACAAAGTGCGTGACCTCACATCCATGCTGGACAGCGCAATGGCCAATGTCATGCGCTCTGCTCGGCAGTTCACTTTCCGATTTCCAGCAGATTGGACGACTCTGCGAGGCTGGGTATAGACTGCTCCCAGGCCAAAGTAGTGAGCTTTTGAGCGTTCTCTGAGCTTGTTCAGGTTCCAAACCCAGGTTAACTCCAACCCAAACCTCGATTTTGAGGTTCAGGTTGAGGTGATCGTGTTTTGTTTGTGGTTTTTTTCATTTTAGTTTTGTTTCGTGTGGCTTCTTCTTTTTTGTGTTTGTAATTGCGTTTTGTTTCATCGATGTGGCTTTTCTTCTTGTGTTTGTGATTGCGTTTTGTTTAAGTTTCTTTTTGCGGGGGTGGAAGTTTGAAAGTTGAGTTAACTCTTGCCCTACCCTCACCGCCCTCACTCTGTGACTTCGACCCCAGCTCTGGAATCCAGGGTTGGGGTTGGGGTTGACCCGCCCGGGGCTAGCCCGAACCCTGAACCCGGGTGTGTGGCGGGGTTGGGGTTGGAGTTGAACCCCAACCCCGGAGTTGGAGTTGAGGTGGGCCCCAACCACAACCCGCGGTTGAACCCAACCCAAACCTCAGGTTAGGGTTGAGTTGAACCAGAACCTGCGAACGTGAGGTTCAGGTTGTTGGCCCCTCCCCGGCGAGCTCCGGGGTTGTAACAATGTTCAACCCGAACCCCCAACCCACCCCCTGCGGAGTATGCTCCATCATACTCCACGAAGGGCAGGTACGTCGATCTGCAATGTAGAGCACCGACTGTTGTTCCCAAGGACCAAAGGACCCGATCGTCGGGCTCCACTGTTCCTAGAGAATGCCTGGATCCTGCCATTGAAATTCACAGGCCCATGTGGCGGCAGATCCACCGTGGAAAGCATCTCCCTATCAAATGGCGGCTCCCACGAGTAGCCAGCTGGCACATCCAGCGTGCCATGTACCAAAGATAGGAGGCCTCACCTGTGCAAAAAGCCCTTGCGAGCGGGATCACTGCAACCGTGCGCTCTGCCGTGGAGAGCAGCGCCAGATTGGGCGTCCTCCTAGGGCTGCCACCAGTCATGGCTGACGATAGCCGAGCACGGCTACCCACTGCGAACCCGTTGGAGCGCACTGGCAAGCAGCCCTGCAGGCTGAAAGGAAGGTGGCTGAGCCTGTGCGAGGTCGAGACGCGTGGCTGAGACAGATAGATAAATCCGGAAGTGCCCCCGAAATTTTGATGGGTGTGCAAATGGAGTTGTTGTCACTTGCGGCTGGTGCAGCGCAACTAACTACGCTGCTCTCAAATGAACGACGCAGTCGCTGACCAACCAGTTGTTGAAGCGGGCAGAGCTCGTCCGAGGGGAATGTCGATGCGCACTTCGAGACAGTTTGCCCGATTTTCGGTGGTCGTCGTCGCTGTAGACCGAGTATTTCTTGGTGGGGGAAGTCCTCCGCCCGGTCGAGCAACGCTCGGAGGACATACATCAGGACCTGCGCCGGGAGCAGAGCTCCGCAGAAACGGAGCCATCGCGTGAACTCTGGTGTCATGTACTGCAACTGGATGTTGCCGCCTTTGGCCGGAACTGGCCAAGTTTTTTTGGCTACCGTGAAAGAACATGTTGCAACAAGGCACACTAGCTTCTGAGCAGGCGCTTCTGATCTGGCTGTGTAGCTGTCATCCAAAAAAAGGGGGGTGGCCTCAGTCATCAACCTTGTGACGAAGGTGCTTGTTGACCGGGCTCGATGTTCAACACACACGCTGCACCACGGCTGAAACGCGATGTGGGTCAAGGAATGTTAGCGAACTTCATCCGAAGTTGGCTCCCGTACCGGGGCCTGCTCCTGTGGCAAATGATCCATCACCGGCAAGTTGGCCCATACAAGATCATTGCGGCTTATGAAATCCTTGATCCTTTGGAATACCTTAGCTTTTCCCCAAAATTTTCCTAAACCTAGTGATGGCATTCAAGGCTGAGTTCCACACCATCAACAACGACCGCATGTTGGCATCCGGCATTGGCTCATCACGGACGACCGGCACTGGTGCAGGGTCAGCTGCATCACCGGAGAAGAGCTGGGTCACATCAACGATGTACGTAGAACCGATGGTTATGGTCTCACACAGCGTTGTGCCGAACAAGTAATCAGGGAATTGCGCTTCGTAATCCTCCAAGGTTGACAGGTTTCATTAAGTGCATACACTTTCCATCCTTGTTCATGCTTGTGCAGGGTTGTCCGAAACAGGACAGGTAACCTTGGAAAGGCCAAGGTGCAATCAACAAAGGCCAAGCTGAAGCACTTGTTTGCAATCAGTCTGGTACCGATCTCAACGAAAGATTTTTCAATCTCAACCAAGGGCCATGAAGCTGCACATCAACCGCACTCACATGAAAAATCAAGCTGAGGTGGCTCATTCACCAGATGAAAAGCGCTCTGAGGTGGCACACTGGCCTCGCGCAGCGGACTGGGCATTCACAACGCTGATGTTTCCGCACACACACACAGGGAATTGTGCTTCATGTACACCGGCACACCGCTGGCTTGTCACCTTCACGAAACAGCTTTGGCTCATTGTTCACACAAGCGACACTGAAACCTTGGCGATACAGCTTGCCCAAAACTCAGCACACACCACCGGTGCAGGATTACCAAAGCGTGCACTCGGACCGCATAATCCTTTTATGACCATTGGCTGAAAGTCCGGCAGCTCCAGATCCGGTTTCGGACAACGGCACCCGCCGCAGGGGAACTGTCAGAGCTCGTCATGCCCTGTCGCAGTTCGACCTTACTGTGTTTGGCACGGGTTGTGGGTATTGCAACTTGTTGAGGAGCTTGGATGTGGAATGTCGCCCAATGATGCTGGTTACGTGTAAGATCTCGACCGCCCCACCTCCAAACCGGTAGGAAACGGAAGCCGGGCTCGAACGATGTCGCGCGGGATCGTATGTGTTTGTGCTAGGGCGAACGGAACACTACCGGCAGCCGTGCGGCTCAGACCGGACCTGTTTCCGTTTTAGAGGTTGGTTTTTAACACCGCCTCCGTCCCCGACTTCCACCTTTTTTCCCGGTTTACTCCGGGATTTCTACTTTCCGGTTCTGTTTTGCGTTTCTCTGGTCCGGCCTGCCGGTTAACCTCTCGAAAGACGCTCTCCTGCATGGTCTGGTTTTGCTCTCGGCATCTTCCGGGTCTCCGGTCACTATGCCGGTTTCTCTTTCACCGGTCCGGTTGGCTACACCGAAGAACGCTTCACGTGTGTGGCTTTCTGCTGTGTATCTCGCTGGACCGGGCTGTGCCTGACTGCTCCGGTTCCACCCTCTTCGCATCGGGGTTCGCTGCACCATCAGAGCGTTGGGTGTCCCATTGCTGTGGTTGTGCTGCGCGCCCGCAGCTAGTTTTGGGTGGGTTTCCGGTGGTGCCAGCCCTGGTTTCAAACCAAATTTCTGCATTATGAGTTGTTTTCCGGTTGGATTTCCTGCCATCCCAACTCCGTCCAGCCGGCTCTGTAGGACGAAACCGGTGCCCCGCCCGGCTTTCCGTTTCTCACGATGGTCCGAAACGGATCTGGAGCTGCCAGACTTTCAGCCAATGGTCAAAGAAGGATTATGCAGTCCGAGTGCACGCTTTAGGTAACTCTGTACCGGTAGTTTGTCTCGACCCGCCCCCCCTCCAAACTAATAGGAAACGGAAGCCGGGCTCGAACAGACAGGATCGCGTGCATGCAGAGGTCATCCTGTAAAGCTTTCGGGTGAACCGCTTGGGTTTGGGATGCATCAATCGCTTCAGTTTGCTGTCAGAGCGATGCTGCACTGGCACTTTTGTTTCCTTTTTCGAGTTTGTCTTTGATGCCTCACATGCAGATGGGCGGCCTCATCATGCAACTCAGCAGCTTCAACGCTTTAACTTCTTTGTCCAAAGCCAACAAGCGAATTGAGTTCTGTTGCCAAGTGATTTTCAGAAGAAGCTGAGAGTTCATTGTGCGTTTAGGTTATACAAAGATCCAATCTGTTCAGCTAGTCGTGGTGGTGGAAATGCTTTTGGTGACGGCCTGGGTCACCATGCGACTTGTGTTGAAACCATAGTTGCGCAATTTGATTTTTGTGCCTGCCCGGCTTGCAACCTGTCCTACGTAGCCGAGCATGACAAATCAGAGAAAAAACAATCTTTGTAGCTGTTATCCATGTCCCCGCAGTGGCTCGCAATGCAACATGATGTGCAGATTTCCAAATTTCGAATCTGTAGATTTCGTCAGGCATCAACACTGCAAGTAAGGCAGCCTTATAGTTGTACGGTTTTGTTCGAACAGCTGAGCAGACGTTCGGGTGTCGACAGGTGTACGCGCCATGGAATCGAAGCCGTCATGGATTAAGGCATGGCTGGCTTCTATAGATGCAAACTTGGATGTTTACGCAAGCAAGTTCGATGACTTTGGCTATGACAGTGAAAGCATCCTAGCCGAAGCGACCAAAGATGAGTTGGAAGGAGATTTGCAGGAGATGTCGGTGAAGAGGGTGCACGCCCGCATGATCTTAAAACACCACGCGATATTGCAGCAAAAGCTGCCTTCCAAAGATGCCTGTGCCCCACTTCACACATCTTCACCTGCTGCCGAGAGTTGTGATGCGACTGCCGTGCAAGAGCTGCTCCCTTGCATGGCACATGTCCTCAACTTTCAGAGTCTTGGCATGACAATTTGTGCCTGCAGCACGCCGGTCGCATGAAGCTTGCGCTTCTGCTTTTCTACAACTGCCGGGGCGAAGCTATGCCATCTAAGGAAGCAGCTCCTACTTGAACCAGAAGTCGGAACCAACAAAGTGGTGCACGTTCCTGTTTGGTGTTTGCTATGGGTGCAGGGAAGGATCCTAGGCTTTTCTGGAGAAGATGTTTCAAAGTTTTGCTATAGTAAACTAGGTGGCAATTTGGGAAACTCTTTAATTTCCCTTATGGTTCCTATAAAATAGTACCTATTCATAAATACTTTTCAGAGCCCCAAAACTGCAACCCAGTAAAGTCTTAACCGGGCATACGGGGGGGGGCGTAATTTTCATAGGGCTCCCAAGCGCAGCTCAGGATTCATCCGGAGATGGTCTTCTCATCTGGCGACTTCGAGGACCGGTCGGTGCTCGTTTGCAGGGGCATGGGCAGAGATTAGAACAGGGTTTTGGGGCCCATTACAGTATACAATAATTATAAGGAGTTCCCCAAAATAGTATAGGTAACTATAGCAGACAGAAGGCTGTGATGTATCCGGAGTGTGAGAGTATCTCAGTTGCATCATATCTCTTGCAACATCACCTCAAGAAGCCTATCCGGAGTGTGAGCATCACTGTCTTCCTCAGAAGTTTTTCAAGCCAAGTGTCAGCTTTTGCTTGGGTGGCATCTGTGCAGCAGTATCCCGATGCACGCAAGGCTATCTGAGTATCTCGCTTAGTGCCAGCACATCTGCACGCAGACCGGAGTCGAAGGTTTAGACTCTGAATGTCATTGTTGGAGGGGAAACGCAGGGGACACGTTTCTGTGGGAACCTTGACCACAGGTCTGTCAGCTGCACTCCCTGTGCAAGCGGGTCAGGCTACATGCAGTCAGGGTTCAGACTCTAGGAACATGATGGAACAGGCTTCAAAAGCAAAGTCGTGTATCTGCACATCGGCACATGTTGCACGGACGTGCCAGGACCATTCGATGTTGGAGCTGTTTTTCGATCTTGTCAATGGTCGGAAGAGCTCGAAGGACATCCAACCCTTGGATGTTGTCGTAGCTGGAGGAAAGTTGGAGGTGGTCAGCGGAAGCCGTCGGCTCACCGTCCTGAATTGGTTGCAGGCACAGTGGAAGCATATTGCCGTCCACGCCCCTTGCTACCTCTTCGCGCCCGGTGATCCCAAGGTGGCAAGTCGGTTTCGCGCAAAAGACACTTCAACAGGTGGCACTGGCATCCTTCTTCATCCTGGGAAGAAGGAGGCGAAGCACCTGCACCGAGCATTGTTTCGCTGTCCAGAGGAGTGGATTGACCAGGAGCCGGAGGCACCTGTCAGCATCCTGCAGCGGCCGAATGCTGCGAATGGGCTTGAAGAACAGTCGGCTGGAGTGCCGGCAAGAAGTGCAAAGGAATCCAAGACGGAGCAGTTGGACTTAAAAACACCCGCTGTCACCATTGAGCCAGACAAAGAGCATGCTAGGTCTGAGCATCGAGTGGTTCCGCTGGCGCCGCCCAAAGAGTCACAAGGAAAAAGTATCCACACTTCGGAACCTGCAACACCCACCTTTGTTTGCTGCCTTTGGCTTGGCCAGAGGTGTCCTGAAGCCGACAGTCACATAACAGCAGGCAAGATGTATTTGCATGAGGATGTTCCGGGGATGATGTGTGGCTTCGAGTTCCGATGCCGTGATCGGCACTACGAACGGCCTGGCATGTCCGGTTCTGGGTCGTGCTTGGGACAGCGCGATGCAGAACCGGCAGTGGAGATGGAGCAGGAAGAGGAGGTTGTGTGTTGCCATTGGCTTCAGAACAAGTGCTGGCAGCAGGCGCATCACAGAAAGGGCAAGACGCTCTTCTTACACCAGGATGTCCCGGGATTGCCATGCACGTTTGGAGAGAAGTGTCGGCTGATGCATCGCACGCGATTAGCTGCGACTTCTTCGGACTCGGTGCAAGACGAGGAGGCTGAAGTGCTGCCAGAGAACACATTCGTCTGTTGTTTTTGGTTGGAAGGAAGGTGCTTTCACCCGAGCCATCACTGGCTTGGAAAAAAGTTCTTCCTGCACGAGGATGTTCCTGCACTGCCTTGCGGTCATGGAGACCGGTGCACGTACATGCATTACGAGACCAGGGCTGCACTCACTGCAGATGCTCGCGCAGTTGTCACGGCCGCCGAAGACGAAGAAGAAGACTCTTCGGATCCGCACAGCGCAGACGCGTTCGTGTGCTGTCTTTGGCTTGAGGGCAAGTGTTGGCGAAAGACGGATCACATGCATGGGAAGCACAGGTTCTTACACCGAGATGTGCCTGGACTGCCTTGTGGCTTTCGAGACGCTTGTAAGTACAAACACTACGAAACAAGAATGGCACTCGTGTCCGATGTCAGCATGGACACTTCCGAAAGTGCGGAGCTGGCGGTGGGCATGCGTGTTTGGGCAGAGGATCAGTGTTGTACGGTGATGTGCTGGAGATCTCAGATTCTGTCTACACCGCAGCAAAGTGCACTGTGGGCATGACCAGATAACGTGGTGTGCCGTTCACGATCTCCAAGTACCCGATTACAAACTCATTCAGAAGGGCATGAGCTTAGATGTATCCTTCGGAAGCCTTGGGTTTAAGTGCACTGTCCTTGCTGTCTCTTCTGAAGCTCGGCGCGTAAAAGCCCCTGTCCACGTCCGCTACAACGGCCACTCATCGGAGCATGATGAATGGGTGGGAGCAGACCGCCTGCGCAGCCAGGCTTTGAAGTTCATCTCGGCCCGGATGCCGAACTCCAGTACTCGTCAGGATCGCCTTGAAGGTCTTGGTGAGGTGGCCATGAGCCTGCCTTCTTCGGGAAGTCCAGTGCTTCGACCAAAAATGTCGGTGAGGATTACTCGTCAGAAGTCTTTCTTGCACGGAGAAGTTCTTGAAGTCTCCAGTTCCGCAGGGCAGGCACGGGCGCTTGTGAAAATGTTGCCCGACGACGCCCAAGGAGAGGTGTCATGGTTTAGCATCAATGATATAGAGGTGCCCGACTATTCAGAGGTCGATGTAGGCTTGTCCGTTGGAGTGGATGTGAAGGGCAAGGTTTTCTTGGCAACTGTTTTGCAGCTATGCTTTGATGAAGAGAGAATCCAATCACCGGTACATGTTCGCTACAATGGCTACAAGGCAGACGATGACGAATGGGTAGGTGCTGACCGCTTGCACAGCAAATCGCTCAGATTCGTGAAGCCTAGCATGCCGCTTTCTGCCACTACGAAGCCTGCGAGCCACTCAGAAACTCTGGAGGTAGTGTCAGGAGAGGCATTGCTTCATCTCGGAATGACCGTGTATGACGTAGTCTCTCGCATCAGCGGTGAGATTCTGGAGATCTCACTCTCGACGGAGCGGGCTGCGGCACCTGTCAAGGTGCGGCTGGGCTCGAACACGAGCTGGTTTGCGGCGAAGCGGCTGCGTGTTCCTGACTATTCTTGCATTCGTGTGGGCATGCATGTGCAAGTTGTACACTCGAAACCATATCTTTGCACGGTGTTGGAGGTATCTCAGCTAAAAGACCGATCCATGGCACCCATTCACGTTCGTTACGACGGATATGGTTCCGAGGATGATGAGTGGGTCGGTGCCGACCGTTTGCGAAGCAAAGCTTTCAAGCTTCTCGACTGCAGATTGCCCTCAGCCATGTCTCGGGATCCAGGTGCAGCAACAGAAGCACTTCCTGATCGCACGAACAGATGGCAGACAAAGGCATTTCGCCTGGAAAATGCCGGCCAGGAGAGCTGCCTGCCCCACACTGTGCAAGCACAGACATCCGACATGGGAGAGCAGCATGAAGCTCTGCCGTGGCATGAGCTGGAAGCTGATGATGACAACCCTTCTCTATTCCTGGAGTTGGCCCTCGGGGCAACATCGGAGGCCTTACGCCGCAAGGGCTCGCAGAGCCAGTGGCAGGGGAGCCTCGAGAGCAAGCTCCAACAAGCTGCTGTAGCATCGCCTTTGGTGAAGGAGCTCCTGATCCACTATGGATGGAAAGGGGGTAGGTTTGAAAGGGAGCCAGACGTTCAGAGGTTGCATGAACACTTTCTGAAGACCAGGAAGGACCTTTTCGAGGTGGAAAGTGTCCCTGGCTGTTGCAGTGATGATGCTTCCTCGGGAGGTGAAGGCCCTGATATGCCTGCCGATGACACGCTGCATGACGCCGCTTCCAGTTGTGCGATGCATGCAGACAGCCTGGATGCACAACTTGAGGGGCAGCCCAACACTATTGAAAGGTTGACGGGTACCCTGATTTGCGGGACTTTTCGTTGTGTCGGAGGCAGCTCCGAAGGACGAGGCAAACACTGTGGCGAAGTCATGGTGGAGCGTGGGCCTCTGCCTTTGCTCGGTTGCAAAGTCCGCATTGCTGCGGGAAAGAACAGAGGGCATGCCCGTGATTGTGATCGCTGCTACGTCCGAATTCTTCTAGCCAGAAGCTGAGCTGTGTTGCTGTTCAGACGCAACTTCTTGAGAGCTGCTTAGCGGTGCCTGCAGTCCGCCCTGTCCAACCTAAGGGCCAGGTATTCACTGCAGATGGCACCGAGCACAGAATGCGAGAAGCCTTTGTTGCACGCGACATTTCCAGGACTGACAAGTTGCGTGCTTGCTGATTTGTGATTAGTTTTTTCGGTGCATGCTGCCATTCGGACCTTCAACAATGCCCAGTTCATGACTAGATGCTCGATTGACGTATCTTGCATCTTGTATGAGAAGCGGCACGATGCATCGGACTGCTGCCACCTGTGGAACTGACTTAACAGTCTTGAAAGATGCTTCATCATCTGTTTGCATACCTTTTTTGCACATGTTCGCGGCTGCCAACTGTTGCGTTTCTTCTTGCAGGACTCAGCTCTATGGTCGCATTGTCCTCTCGCGAGAGTTTGGAATTCCAAGGCAGAAGCTCTTCGTTTGCTCCAAGTGCAAGAAGAGTAGCCATGAGAGGTGCGTCGCGTTCAAGCCGATCAATGGCAAACTACCTCCCATCCAGGTGTCCTGGCCGAAGGGTGGTCTACCTCCAAGCAGCTCTGACCTACATGTGGTGGAAGTGCGTGATTGGGATGGCGACCGCCAGCCGAGAGGGAAGTTCATCGAGAGTTTTCAGATGCATTCTCGAAGTTCCGATGCGGCCATCCTCGAGCCAGTGCAGATGTCCATGAACTGTGGTGACTGGGAGCGTGGCCAAGTCCGTGAGACGTGGGGCAAGTTTTCACGCGCGGCTTTCCCCCAGCCGGATGTTTCTTCACGAACCGATCTTCGCATGTCGGGACCAACAATTGGCATTCAGCACCCCAGTTTGCCGACCAGTGTAGCTGTGTCTTGCGTACCAGATGCCTTGTTGCACATCCACATCTTGGATGTCAATGCATATCTGGCCTCGCTTGAGAGTTCTTCATCGTTGGAACTTCAGGAGCTGCTCTTGCGCCGTGCAGTCGGATGCTGGTTTATGAACCATGAGGACAAGCCCCTGGATGCTCGCCTTCCCTTGTTCCCTCCCGAGATCGAGAAGGAGCTCACTTTCGTGGATGGATCTGAGCGCCTTGCTGTCACCTTTGCTTTTCGTGTCACGGACCGGCAGACTCTCGACTTAGACAGCGTCCAGGTTTTGGAGACGGTCGTGCGATGTGACTCGGTTCTCACTCCGCACGATGCCGGCAGCATGATTCTAGGTGATGCAGATGGGGGTGAAGTGGGCACCATGCTCCGACTGTTGGCCGTTTATGCGTGGAACTTTGAGAATGCTGAGATCGACAAGGGAAGCCTCGCAGTCTTCGAGCATCTCGACATTGACTTGGCTCGCCAGTCGTGGGATGATGCACCATCTGCTTTTTCGCATTTGGTGAGTTGCCGCATGATGCGGACCTTGATGCACATGGTTGACCGGCATGCCGGAAATCGCTTGAGGGGGCTATCTTGGTCTGAGGTTATGGATGCAGAATCCTCACCTGGAGTGATGGTGAAGTACTCTCACGGCAAAGCTGACCCCTCCACTTGGAAAGTGTTGGAGCGCTTGTTTCGTCTCAAGCCAGCTGAGGCTCAGGCCAAAGTCACAGTTCGAGATGCAGTGAGCTCCCTACTGGAGATTCTGAATCAGCCTGGCCTCTCTTACATGCAGCAGCACTGCTTCCAGTCGTCCTTCATCCGACGGATGCGAAATGCTTTTCCTCTTGCCTTCTATGAGCTCCTTCCAGTCCAAGCCGAAGGTGCGAGCACATCTCCCGGATCATCTTGCGCTTTCCTCAAGCATGAGCATGTATTCCATGTGACTGCACCATTGCAGCGCAATCTCGACATCCTTGGTATGCGTGCGCTGAAGTGCCGGCTTGGTCTCAGCGCACCAGCGGGGCACATGCGGCTCAGCAAAGAGAAGCTGCAGGAGGCAGTGGCCCGGGCAAACGCCAGGACCAGCGCGCACAACTTCGGACTACACATCTTCAGGGTCATTTCTTGGATGAAGGACTTGTCGCCGGGACGTCGGGTCTCGAATGCCTTGATCGGAGCTGTTGGTCCGAGCTACATCAATGTCTTGATGCCCACAAGCTGTGCACATGTCCTGGAGCTCAAAGTGCCCGTTTGGGCTTTGTGCGGTGACTCTGGTGCCTCAGACTATGATGTCGCCACCCAGTCCTTGAAGCTTGCCCTGCCAAGTGGGTCCTACTTTGACCAACTAATGATCAAGACATGGCACCCTCCGGCCATGGTGTGTACGATCGCACGCAATTGTGCACAACCCATTCCTCACCATGCTTCCGCAAATGCCGTGATTGTCACGGAGCTGCAGCTTCAACAACTTTCTGGCACAAATGTGACGTTTGCAGTGGGCGACCGTATGTTCCCACAAATGTTCTCGTCCTGTACTGACCTGAAGGAGTGGGCAGTCATGGACCGACGTCTGGAGGATTACTCACAGTTGTGGTCCCGCATCCGGACATGCCAAGTCCATGCTGCCGCTGTTTGCAGTTCTGTCTTCAGGCCCTACGGCAGTGCGCGTGATCTCAGGTGGCGGGAAGCAGACCGCAAGTGGTGCTTCCAGTGCCGAGTGGACGTCTTCTTGGCTGAAGGTCAGTGGCTGTATCCGGGCGACCTGGCAGTTCTCAGCTGTGAGAGAGAAGACCAGGTCCTGGAGCTGCGTGGCGAGATCGTGGAGGCCAAGCCGAATGGCAAATGCGGTGATGGGAGCCAGCCTACATCTTTCAGCGTGGAGGTTGAACTGTCGCAAAACGCATACTCCCTGAAGGACAGTTGTGCTTGCTTCCCTGGTGCGGACATCTCTTACCGAATGTACTTCATCTCAGTCCCCCTGAACGAGAAGAAGAGCATTCACTTGCTGAAGTCAATTCCAGATTCCCCTCCGCTGCAAGCCATGCGGCTGACAGTACCCAGATCGGCTCAGCAGCAGAAACGGGAGTCCGAAATGAGGCCTTTGCTGACAGTGAATCAGGTCAATTCGGCCCTGCAGCAGCCTGAGTACAGCCGCAAGGAGGGCCTGAATGAGAAGCAGTCGATGGCCCTGAAGCGTGGACTGCAGCGGCCATTCTCCATGGTGCAAGGTCCGCCAGGCACAGGCAAAACCTCTCTTCTCGTGCAGTATGTCGTGGTCGCCTTGTCCACAATGCATCGTCAGGAACGGATTCTTATCGTTGCGCCTTCGAACCAAGCGGTGGAACACCTCTTGCGGAGGTTGGTTCAAGACACCGGCATTCCGGCCCACTACATCACCCGTGTTTACTCCAGGTCTATCGAGAAAGAACACGGCAGCACCTACAAAGCCAGCTGGAATAGCGAGCGCGCGGAGCGAAAATTCGATGTTCGGCCTGATCTCGAAGAGCATGCACTGCACTTCAAGATGAGCCAGCCGCCCTATGCGCCATCGAACCAGGCCGCCCAGGGCAGCCGAGATCAGAAGACGTTGTGTGCAAACTACGAGAAAGCGGAGGAGCTGGTTCTCAAGCAGAGCCGCATCGTTCTCACGACATGCACGAACGGATACCTTCACGCTGCACTGAGCCAGATCTGGTTTCATACTGTTGTCATTGACGAGGCTGCCCAAGCAAGCGAGCCTGATGTCGTGCTGAACTCCACGTGGGCGACTCACCGTCTGGTGGTGGTAGGTGATCATCAACAGTTGGGGCCAGTGGTTCCCGAAAAGAATCTTGACCCTGCTTACGTGCTTGCGCTGGAAACCCCTTTCTTGGAGCGAATGATGCAGAACCCCTGCCGTCTCAAAACCAGCACCATGCTTGAGGTTCAGTACCGGATGCACCCGTCAATCCGAAGCTTCCCATCGTCCCAGTTCTACGAGTCCAAGCTGCTTGATGGCGTTGCAGTGGCCTTTCGACCGAAGCTCACGTGTCTCTGGCCCCAGGAAAACGATCACCGGCTCTTCGTGGACTGCCAGACACCACAAATCAAGGACAGAGCCTCATCCGAGCAAAACACGAAGTCCCTGAAGAACCCTGGCGAGGCTGAAGTGGTTGCGGCCATGTGTTCCGCGCTTCTTGGACAGGGCTGTGCCGGAACTGACATAGCCATCCTAACCCCCTACACATCTCAGCAGCATGAAATTCGTTTCCGTCTGCAGCTCGAGCTTGGCAAAAAGAAGTCTGACGACATCGAGGTGGGCACAGTACATGCCTTGCAGGGCTCAGAGAGGGAGTACATCCTCCTCAGCTTCGTGCGGAGTACCTCTGACGAGATCGTCGATATCAAGCCATCTACCATGAGCTCTTCCAAAGGAGATACCAGAGCCCTGCGTGAGTTGAAAACGCAGCAATTAGGAATAGTGAAGAACCGCAAGCTTCTGAACGTGGCCTTGACTCGTCCAAAGTATGGCCTTGCCATCATCGGCAATGCGGAAGTTCTTAGCGGTGGATCCAACGATTTTCTCGACTTGATTACAAGCCTGCAAGGCTGCAACTGTGTGGTGGACAGGGAAGCTTTTCTCGCGAAGCTGCGGGGAAATCGTTGGGCAACTGCCCAGAATCGCAGAAGCTTCCCTGAAGGTTCGGTTGTCCGACCGGAGGATTCTGCCTCTAACGTAGGGATGCAGTCCCACATCTCACAGGAGGATGCGAGTGAATGTTCTGACGTGTCGAAGGCTGTGAGCTCGATCTCCGTTCTGTCCGTCCGGCGAGGAACCTAAGTGCTTTTTGCCGGGGACGCTGCTGCCAGCTGCCAGCGGCGCGATGATTCGAGTCGAGCACCTGGGTGTTGGAAATCGGATGTGTGCAGCGGGATCTCTGAATTCATTGCAGGTGGTCAATGTTGAGCGATATGAGAATGAATGGACAGAGATAGTCAAGATAGAGACACGCAGCGGCGCTTCAATTGTGGTGACGTCTACGCATCGGATTGTAATGCAGCATGGCACAAGGACGGAGGCCGCTCAAGTAAGAGAAGGTGACCTGGTGAAGACGGCCAGCGGGCATGCTCCAGTTGCAGCCTTACGCCTAACCTCCCCCAAGCTATCATGACATGAGCAAGTCACCACGGTGAGGACAACCCCATGCGGCGTGTGCTTGTAAGGTCATCTCTGTCGCACGGCATGCCGACTGCTTCACCATCTTTCAGGTGATGTTCAGCCCCGACGAGGCGGTTGAGGCACATCTGACTTGATTTTGTGGCTGCGCAAGTCTTACCTGCCTTGTGTTCGGAGGGAAGGGGGTCTCGGCAGGCTATCTATCCGCCGCCAGATACAATTTGGACCTGCGGTGCCAGACAGGCCGGCGGAAAGGGAGGCAGCTTCTTCCGGCCAAGCTAGCCTGCGGATTCGAATACTCAAGCTGCAGTGCATGAAACATTGCCCAGGGCTTGAACTGTCCGAATCCTACAGGATCGCTTTCCGCAGACAGACTTTTGAACGATATGATGTCAGATGGGCAATAGTGAGTGCTCGCAGGATCGCCGCGCTCTGTTGCTGAAGCTTTGGACAAACAGAAGCATTTGAGAAGGGCCCACAATCATCCGATTACAACGTAGGCACACTTGTTTGTGATGATGCGCACGGTGGGTGATCAGACTTCCGGCATCCGAAGAAACACGTGAGATAATTCGCAATCGATGTTGAAAGACCAGCAGGCAGCCGTTTTGAATGGGGAAAACCACGATCCCGTGTACTCTTAGCAATGATTCTGCTGTCTCTTACTTGCAGCTGACTGTGCGCTTTGACAGCTGGATGTTGCTTACTACAATCTGTCATTTCAATTTCTTGTCAGTTTCTTGAAACTGGCTGATTTTGTGCTATTCTGTGTCAAAGTGGTTAGTGGTTGGTTTCAATTTCTTCCGTTTGCGCCCCCTTCTCAGTACACATTCCACACTTCCCACACTTTGGGTTTCCAAACCTTGACATGTTTTCCAGGACTTGCTTACGGTCCGAGTTCAAGCTGTAAGCATGTTCTCTTCACAGTCAGAGCAACATTATTTTCAACGTTCTGCACAGCTTTTCGCGGAGTTCACCACAGGTTGTGATGTTCGGGTTCGTGCAGATTGAATGCCCTTTGTGAGGGGTTTTCAGCATTGGCTTTGTGTGATTTGCTTCGGTTGCTGGTGCCTGCAACATCGAGTGGTTTTTCGTTTATCATTGTCTGTGTGTTCGCTAAAATCTGAGCGAGCAGCCCTCAGCGATCCTGCAGAGGTGGCTGGCAAGTTGGCTGGCTGTGTGTTTGTGTTTGCGCTGTCAGTACCTGCCACGCACACAGAGCAGCTAGCTGCCCGAGCCGAGCCACGACGTACGCACTTGCAAGCACGCACCGTGTGAACGCGTCCGGCACATTGGACACACCACGCGCAGATGAGGACACACGCACAACATGCAACATTTGCAGACACATCTCTGTTCAGTATCACCTGTTGAACAAGCTTCTAATGTGGCACGTTTATGGACTCCTTCTTGCAGTTGCTTCCGGTTCCAGGTTGCCGTTGACCATCGTCGCACACGACGCTCGGGCCAGAACAGGCGTCCAGGATTCCGGCCACCAGAAGGAGAGGTGGGTCATGGCTGAGCGACCCGCTGCATGTTGTTCCACTTTCGTGAGCTTGTTTTGTGCTTCTGAGTGAGATCGGTTCTGCACGTCTTTGTGCAAGGAGCAGCTCCAACCTTCGTCGAAACAGACGACGGATTTCCGCGATAACTTGTCTTGCTTCTGGCATCTTAGATGTGAAAGAAACCCCGACATCTGTTCAAAAGCGAGCCAGTGCCACCAGATTGCGGTGACACTCATTCCAATTCAGCTTAGAGCTGGTGCAGGCATGGCAGTGACGCAAGCATGTTGCGAGCACGCCATATGTTATAGTTGTTGGCATGCTGACAACACCATGAGCACGCTAAACGAGATCTGTTGCTAGTATCAGATTGACAACGTCACCACGACATTGTTGGTCTAGCCTGCATATGCAGCGTCCGCACCCACCGGACAGGGACATTGACAGCAACACAAGACACACCTTCAAGAGAGCTTGCGTGCTCATGCACGGAATGCAGGACCGTCATCTATAGAGGCTTGAGTGTTGTCTTCAGTATTGCTCAGTGATTCGACGGTGAACTTGCTAACGATGACGGTGCCTGGTGCTTAAGGGCAGTGACGCACACTAGCATGCGAGCACGCCCGGTCCTCTCTCACTAATGTTGCAGCAAATGCGCCTGAATTCTGATAGAGTTGGCATATCGAATACTTGGTCTTTCTGAAAGCTCATTGGACGACATCCTTCGGCTTTGAGCGAACACCAAGCTGTCTCAGACAGCATGAAGGCTCGGAAGCAGCTGAACGGTCTAAGACTAAGATTGGTTCGGGCCTTGCTGTTTTCATGCTCGAGTTTTTCTCATTGCAACGGCAGTGACGGAATGAACACCGTTGCGAGTGCCGCATGCATGAGCGCAGATAAGAGCGGCATACTTTCCTGCCGGCCACGTGCCTCCGTAATGTATCTAAGTCTGATATGCCCCTGTTGTCACTGACATTTTTTGCAAGGCATCTGGGGTAGGACTTCGGTCATACTTCAAGGGGATCCGGGATCTGTAAGGCAAGTTGTGAGCTTTCACGACTGACCTCCAAGTTCTGAGCCCATTGGGACCCCCAACAGCGCCAGCATGCAACCACATAGGAATGTACGCGTATTTTGACGGCATCCTTGGCAGCAGCCGCATCAGGGTCCCCAAGCTCTGTATCCATAGGCTCGGGGGCTCGGCCTGCGGGCACAAGCTCTCCAACGGTCTGGTGGATGTCCTCGATGACCAGATCCATTGGCTCTGTCCGAGCTGCCATGGGGCCCGCGGGCTCGGGAGTGGATGCCTGCCTCAGGAGGGGCATCCGTCGGTTCTGTCTGCTCCGGCTCATCCGGGATCACTGTCTTAGGTGCCACAGGCATGGTCGAGGGCGGCGTCAGTGGGTAGCGCTTGGGCTGCGGCATGGGCTTGGACCGGGGCCGTGGTGTCACCAAAAGCTGAACGTCCTCCTCATCATTCTCGCTGTCGAGCTGAATGACAGCTGGAGCTGGAGGCCCGGTGGTAGACTCATCGTCAGGATCCGTCGAGATGGCGGTGCCCCAACCCAGCGGTATAGCTGTTGCAAGCGGCCGACCGTGCCTTTAGGGAAGTCCGCCTCTGTGGAGGGCAAAATCTGTGTGCTCGCACATGTACACACGCGGTCTCCAGTAGTGAAGACGACTTTGCAGGAGCTCTGGCCTGGAGTGAGGGCAACAGCCGGGTCTAGGTCCGTGCCCGGGTAGGAGTCAGGCACTATGATGCCCGGTAGGCCAGCAGGACAGTCCGGCGTGGCCTGGAAAAGGCGCACCAATCTCCTGGGAGCCAGCAGAAGTCTTTTGAAGGATGTCTCTCCCGAGGTAGGCGATTTGGTAGCAGGGGGCCTGCTGCTTGCTGAGCCAGTATCTGGTACGCTGGAGCCACGGCTGGGTCGAGGTCTGGAGCGTGAGCGGGAGTGGGAGCAAGAGCGCCGCCTGGAACGGGATCTCAGGCGTAGACCTTCCTCCGGCTCAGTGGCAAGTCCACGCGACCAGCGGCCTGGACGGCCTTTGTTCCGTTTGGCCTTCCCTGAGCGGCCCATGCGTCGAGGACTTGGCCTCCTAGGAGGAGGCAGGAGAGTCGGCTCCCCCCCGAGTGCCGTGCTGGAGCCAAAGAGTCTATCACTGTTGTCATGTGCTAGTGTGAGTCGCTCAGGCACCAGAGCAGCACAGTGCAAGAACGCTAGGAGGTGCCAAGGGCGCGACTGATGGATGTGGTCGGCCCAGCAGGCGAGGACACCTCCAGCCTGAGGACACACAGACAGGCAGTGCATGGAGTGAGTGAGTGAGCAGAACCTGAGGTCTTGACCCAGAAGACCAGGAGGGCTCAGCCTAGTCAAGCTCATGCAGAGCCATGAGGCGAGACCGTAGGCTCGCGAGCGCCAGCGGAGCAAGATGGGTGAGCTGGGCAAGAAGATCTGCATGCTCCTCAGGCGTGAGTGTGCACCTGGCTTCGAGGTATAGGACGTGTGCCTCGAGAGTTGGCAAGAATCTCTCGTAGTGCAAGGCCTGGGTAAGGGCACGACAGTGATAGGTGCTGAACCTGGCACTTCGACGGTACCTCGAGACTGAGAGTGCCTCGCAGAGGATGCTCGCACACAAGGGCAAGGCACACCAGGGAGTCCCGATTGTAGTACCATGTCGGAGGCGGATATCACTCGGGGAGCAATCCGTGTCATCTGGCACCCTGTGTGCTTGCAATTTATTCCGGGGCTGGTGGGATTTGTCCTGCAGCGGTTGCTGCAAGACTGAGTTCGCCCGAGTGGAGCCTGAGAGATCAATCGGGGCAGAGCACAGTGGGACGGAAGTAGACAGAGGCTCCCGCCGGACAGGGCCTCATTGGCCGTCAGCTGCAGGAAGGACATGCTTCGATGACCTGAGCGTCGGAGCTGAACAAGGAGAAGCAGATTAAGCATAGTCCTATCGAACCGAGCATGTCGCCCAATTGATCGGGTCAGGCGCTTTTGTGGCTTCGCAGCTAGTGCATCGTGGTGTGCCAAAAGGAGGAGCTCGGGGAGCAGAGTACAGTAAGAGCGCACTGCATGCAGAGCCTCAGACATCTGGTGGCAGGGCAAGGCCAGACACCACTGCGTTCCAAAGCTGAGCCGGCGTGGGAGTAGTCGACGGTCCTGCCGCTGTTGCCGTCGTGGCTGAGCCCGTTGATGCAGAAGAGAAGGGGACCACAGCTGTCGGAGGCAAAGGAGAGGGCAGCTCGGTGCCACCCATGAAGGGCGGACGAGAGGAAGCTCGAAGGCCAAAGGTGCCTGGTGCAGGCGGAGAGGAGGCCTTAGTCGTGGCCGCTGCCATGGCTGTTGCCGCCAGCAGGGGCGGGTTTGGCATTGGTGGTGCACAGATCGGTGTGCAAATCGACAGCGGGGTGACCGGAGAAAGACGGAGCTGCCAAGCGCCTTGGAGAGTAAGTACAAGGTCTTGGGGGCAGCCTGTCGGCACTTGCATGTTAGTTGCTGGCGTAGGAGGCGGAGGGCCGGATGGTCCAGACATAGGCAACGGTCCTGGTGAACTGGTAGTCGTCGTCGTAGCAGCCGCCGGAGTTGCAACCTTGGGAAGCAGAGGAACAGATCCTGAGGTATCAAGCGCGG